AGGAGAAGTGCAGCACTGGATAGAAAAGAGACAGGATGAGAAATGATAGATCTGATGGGGCAGAGAACAACGGTGTTAAAATACCTTGTTGATTAAGTAAATAAATAAAAACACCATAATGTGTGACTAGCTCCAGAAAAGTCCTACCAAAGATTTCATACAAAGTATATCAGGGCATAATAGGGCTTATGGAGATAAGGAGTCATACTGAGTGAGGCCCTGACTTCCTCAAAAGGTCCAAACTCTACAATTAAAAGAACTGCTTAAAGGCCTGAAATGTTTATGTATGTGTGATATTCACATACCATGCAGCATGTTGGGAAGGACAACTTTGTGGAGTAGGTCCTCTCCTTGGACCCTTATGAGCGCCCGACATGGAGCTTGGGTTGTCAGGCTTGAGTGGAAGTCTTTTACCCATCCCTTAATAGAGCCTTTAATCACAATTTTTACAGCGAAACTTTTCTTTCTGGTGAAATTTTACTTTGAACAGATAGTAGAGATAAAGACACCAAATTGGTCCCCTGAGCAGCTTGAGCTAGAGCTTTTTGTGACTTGACCTCAAATATCCTCCTGTTTATGAAGCCCCTGGGGGCTCTCTTAGGAAATGTGGAGTTTTTGTGAAACACAGTATGAAAAATCGCTGATCAGGAATGCACTGCTGTGCATGCTGCGCTAGAAGCCCCACACTATGCTTAAAGACAGTGCCCCTCCTTAGCAACTAACCACAATACCAGGACACAGTATGCGGTGGAGGGGAGGTGTTGTCAAAACCCTAGAACTGAAATACAGATTTCTAGAAACTCAACAAGAAACATGAGCCACATGCCTGTATAAAAAGCCCCTTTTCTTTATTTATTCCTAGCAAAGTGTTAACGCTCAGAACAGCTTCACTAGCGTTTTCCCCAACTGTGTTCCCACACAGTAGTTTTTCTCAGAAATTTCCATTTATATTTAATGCCTCTATCTTGTAATTCCTTGAGAAGGACAAAGGTGGAAGTTCAGTCAAGGCCGTAAAACTACTTTTCCTCTGAGAAACTGTCAGCCAAATTTCTCAGGGAGGGAGTCGAAATGAAATGAGAGACATTGATAAATTTCCCTGCTGAACAATCAATAAAAGCCTTGCCAGCCTGCTCAGCCCCCCACTGTGGAGGCAAAAGCCATAATTACATTGTCAAAAATTCAAGTTGCCAGGCTGACACAACCTCTTTGAAAAGTGACAAGTGATTGGCACTCAGTTTGGATGGTGAAACTGGATTGGCAGATGCAAAGGCAAAAGGCAAGAGTATGGTCAAGGCAAAAGGCAGGTGTGGATTTTCTTTACTGACTCCAAATGCTCAAACCACAGACTTCCAGCCCTGGACCCTTTGGTCATATTAACTTATTGGAGTGGACATGCAGCCTTACTAAATGATCAGCACTCCTCCTGCAATGGGAAACATACCTTGTCTGTTCTCAAATCCATGGGAAAAGACATGGCTGAATATGGGTGTGTGAGTGCTAGAGTGTGCTATGTTCCTGCACTGGGAAAAAAAAAAACAAGCCAATAAATGTGCTTTTGGTGCCATGTGACAGCTGAACAGTGCAACCCGTTTGCCTAGCAATTTTAATCTATGATAAAAATCAACTAGAGCAGAAGGGTTACAAAGGGCAGTAATGAAGAACGAGCTAGAAGCGAAGCACTGGGGAACAGGGCTATGACTGACATGCTGACTCAGTGGTATGACTCCATATGACCCATGCTGGAGTTAAATTAGAATCCATCAAGCCCCTCACTCCTGGACGCAAGGAATCGAGTCTGCAAAGGACTCCAGTTACTGGAGTCTGCCTTCTGGCTACTTCGGACCCATGCAATTGTTCTCTGAGAAAGATTTCATCGTACCCACACCTAGGAGCAGTGGTTGTCCTGTTCCGGGAAGCAACTCTACCACTGGAGATTAAAATCTAAAAGTGTCCACCAGGTGGTGGGAACAGAACAGAAGGTGCCTCGGAATGCTGTTGCCTCATGAGCTCCAGGCTAAATCCTCTCTGACTGATGAAAAGAGATATTAATTAATAAGATGAGAAAGTGGTAGGCAGAGCAGGCCACATGCCACATTTTCTATTAGAAGTCGTTGTTCCCTCAAAATTTCTTAACCTCTGAAAGAGAAAAAAAGCTAGCTGGCACTCTGCCCTGTATGATTATAGAAAAAGACTATAAGTAGGATATAAGCAAAGCAATAAGAACGAACACTGTATGGCCACCGCTCTAAATCACCGTGTAAGTGCAGGAGAGCGACTATGTTGACCAGTTTTATAGAAATTAATTTGTTCAAAATCCTAACTGAAAATCAACAGAACTAGGCCAACTTCTGATGCCGTGATATTCACTGTAGCAGTGAACCTCCAAACTCAGTCAATGATTCAAAGTCAATCCACATTCAGTTCCCTCCGATCTGCATATACCTCCTCGGCCCCGCAACCACTGCATCAGGCTTAGGGGATGAGATTCAGGAATCTAGACTAATAACTACTCCCTGGATTAGTCCTTTGAGAGTCACCAAAGCTGTTGAATCTCCTCGCTGCATCTCTCCTGGAATGCTAAATAAGTGGATACCGCATCCTTAGGGACTTTCTGGGTAGAAGGCAGTGAATCAAGACACTCACTCTTTGGAATATTTGACAGCAAAAGAAAATTAGTTGTTTTCTAATGCCTGACTGTCACTCTACCCACCTTTGCCCTGGAAAAAAAAAAAAAAAAGGCCAGTGAAATTACGGAATGATTTTAACCATGATACACCATCAGGCCTGAAGGAAAATCTACTCCGGACCTCAGGTGATCAGAGAGAGGAGAAAGGATTGATAAGGTATACATGTGAATATGAAGCTTTGATGGATGGGTGAGGAAAGAGCTCCTTTTTACCCAGTTGGCCAGGGTCTCTCCCACCCCACGGACTATTTACTTCATATAAATGGGGTATAGAACTATCATATCAAAGAGGGTACAGACTGGTTTTTTTCCCCATTTCCCATGGTCAAGCTCCACAGTTTAGGGGAGGTCCTGGTCATATTTTGTGGGAAGGGCTTTGGGGATGAGTAAAATGTTAATGGCAGGTCTGAAAATACAAAAGAGGTATGAAAATATGGGAAGCAGGAGGAGAAAGGTAGCATTAAGGAAATGAAGAAATACAAAAAGAAATGCAGAGGAGAAAAAAAAAAGCAGATTCTCCTTATGATCCAGGAGAATCACAGACACCCTAGGAATATTTTCCTTAATTACCAAAAGTCTGAAACATATAATTAATAAAAATATTTACTTGGCTTTAATTGTGGCATACTGAACATAGGCAAAGCCATTGTGAATTTTAACTTGACATTTCCTTATTTATAAAGGCTTAGGAGGCCATGGAACATTTAAAACACAGACACACTATGTAAACTGATGAATGTTTTCACTGACCACTTATACTTGAACATGGATGTTCAAATCAAAGAGGGAAAACAGATTGAGCAAGTTTTCATCGTTCTCATTTGAATTCCAGTTTTTAGTGGAATCAAGCCATGAGCACTGTAGGCCAGCTGACTAACATTTGGAGACCACAGCTAATGTTTGAAAAAGCAAAAGATAGTAATGGATCCTACGTGACAGAGCCATGAAGATGGGAAAAATAAAATAAAAATCAGTGGGACTGTAATTCTGAGTTCCCAATCACATAAGTTACTGGTATAGCTGACCCAAAGTCAACAATACTAAAGAAAAGTTTTGGCTTCCTCTTAGAGTAAGATTCCCCTGAGGGGGGAGCAGCCTTACCAGGCCACAGAAGATGACGATGCAGCCACTCCTGATGAGATCTGATTAACTAATATCAGAAGGAAGGAGAGGAGGACCTCCCCTATCAGTGGACTTCGGGAGGGACATGCGTGAAGAAGGGGGTGGGAGCGTGGAATCAGGAGGGGAGGAGGGAAGGGCTTATGGGGGGATACAAAGTGAATAAAGTGTAATTAATAAAAATAAAAAAAATATTCAGGGAGTATTTTTTTGGTAGAAAATTACTACATAGTTTGTAACAAACAGACAGAGGAAATACCAGACTCTTTAGTACAGCTACCAACTCATAGGTAAACCAGTTGTTTTTAATACAAGTGGGTTCCAATTTGTCATATCAGTATAAAAATGCTACTGTCCTCTTAAGATCAGGCCACTACCTTGGGTCCACATTCTACGGTGGTTTCATTCTGTTTGGCTAGTCTTAAGTGGAAGACAAGTACCAAAAGGATACACAATCACAATAGCTTTTAACACCTCTGCTTGCCCATGAAGTATATTATTTTTGCTCACATTCAACAAACCAAAGGATATCTGTGGCTAAGCTCACAGACAATATGGTTCACACTCAGGGAGGCACTGAAAGCAATCTGATGGTGAGCAAAGGTATCCAGTCCCCTTACAGGAACCATAGCACAGTCTGCCACAGATAATAATAATTAGACATGGGCTGGAGAGATAGCTTATCAGTTAGGAGCTCATATCAGTTGGGCTCAATTCCCAGCGCCCACATGGCAGCTCACAACCATCTGTAATTCCATTTCCAGGCTATCTGACACACTGACACAGACATATATACACATAAGGTAAAAATAAATAAATAATTTTTTCAGTTTTTTGTTTTTTTATTTTTTTTTACAATTTATCCATTTTTCATCCCAATTGTAGTGCCCTTCCCTCAACTCCTCCCTGCCCCACTCACCCTCTCTCTTCCCCCCATCCTCTTCCCCTAGTCCAACTGAAAAGAGGAGTCCTGCCATCTGATAAACAAATTTTTAAAAGACAAGAAAGTAATAATTAGATGTGTTATTTTAAAAAAAATGTGTTATACAACAATTGACCTACTGCCTCAGCAACTAGTTACTAGTTGTTGTTGTTTTTTAAATAATTTATTGATGTTTGCTGTCCATACATTTGATAGAAACAAACCCATTTCGGGATTTGTATTGGAGGGGGTCAGGGTGAGCTACCTACTTACCATGCAGGGAAAGAGTTCCATTCCTCACGGCCAGGAACTTGACTCCATAGGGAAAGAAGAGAGGGGAATGCTGGCTTCCGTAGAGTCTGATCTGAGCTTTGCCTTGGAAAGGCTTCTCCTCGGATCCGATATGGAGCCCTCCACCATCGGTAATAAGGATGGAGTGGGCTCTGAGCTCAATGGGTCCTGGCTCCACAAAAATGAGCTTTCCACCTGACAAACAAAAACCAAGCTGTCAGTCTCCAGGAGAATGGGCTCAGCCTTTTTTTTTTTTTTTTTTTTGGCAGTTCCAATGTGATGAAATTGCTGTTTTTATATACTTCTTATAGAAGTTGGACTTAATATAGAAGCACTATAAGCTATGTCACACCCCCGGAGAGAGAAAAAAACATTATACCTTAAAGCCAGGTTTCATAAGATATTACTGTTAACTGTAGTTTTGATGATGAATTTTTAGTGCAATAATCCAAATATCCAGACACTTAGAAATGGCTAAATAAATGGTGAAAAGGTCACCAACTTTACCAGTTATAATAGATTAAAAACCTGGCTATAAAGTTAAGTACATGACACCACACATATTTAAGAGATAAGGATAGAAGAAAATATGCTAAAGCAAAAAATATATATAATAAAAGGAAACAATGGGACTAACATCATAGTTTTTGTGGAATGCTAGCTAGTCCTTACTTGCATTCATCAACAAACCTCAATTTAAGAGCTTTTCCTTACTGGATGGAGAGGAACAGCCAATCAACCAAGACTTCTTGTCATCCCATACCCTAGGTCACAGACTGGAGCTTTGAGGGGAAGGTGGAGCAAAGGGGAAGAGGCGGGGGGGAAATATTTAGATCTCATTAATTCCAGTGGTGGCATTCTAAAAAATCCTGAAGAGTGTCAGCACCTCAGCCCATACACTCTGCTTCAAAAAGCCTTGATTCTGACTTGTTTCTGACTTCCATTGATTAGGAAGCTATCCAAAACCTTCCAAATAATTTGCTTTCTAGAGAAAAGTTTCTTTCTGTCATTAGAGCCAAAACAAAAACAAAAAGAAAAAAACAACTAATATAACCTCAGTCTTTTCAGATATCTCAGTTTTTGAAACATATGAAAATAAGTCTATAGCATAATTATTGTGAGAATAAACAATCAAATCCTTTTAAGAAAAAGTATCTTTTTCTTGATATAAAATTGGTCTACATTTCATATCATCATTAATACCTTTATGATCAAGTATCCCAGATAAACACCTAATCAGAATAAGATGTAAAATCTGTCCTGTGTGTAAGCATATTGCAAAAATACTAGAATAGACAATGTTCCTCCCTCTACAGCAAAGTGGTCAGAGATATAACTTTACTTGCTATTGTTTATAACTTTTTTCTGCTTCATAAAATATTTTTATTAATTCTTTGAGAATTTCATACATGTATGCAAATATTCTCACTATATTCATCCCCACTCTTCCCTATAATTCCTCCCAAGATCTACCCCCCCACACTTACCTATCCTCTCTCCCAAATTTGTATCCTTCTTTATTTTTTAATAACTCACTGATTTAGGCTTATACTAACCATATAATCCTGGCTGTAAGCCAATTACTGGAATGTGGTTGATCTAACGGGGGTCATGCCACTAAAGAAACCAACTGTCCCTCATCATCAGTCATCAAATACAATATCAGTAGTTCCTCAATTAGGGTGAGTTCTTATACATTGCTCCCCAACTATGCCATAGAATGTTGACCGGCTTGATCTTGTATAGGTTTTAGGCAGGTAACCACAACTGCTGTAAATTCATCAATACCATGGTCCTGTCATCTCCAGAAAATACTGTTGTGGCAAGTCTTCCCCAACCACTAGATGTACTATTTTCCTTTCCAAACTCTGTGATAGTGGCCTACCTTGTACAAAATAAATTTCAGAGTCTTTATATCAAACAAAGAAAGACCTGTCTGTCAAAGAAAAGCTGTCTGTCTCCGACTGCTCTCCAAAACCATCTTACCAAATTTAGCTTTCATCTGTTCTGGTATGGCTTGAAAGGGTCTTATCAACTCAGGTATGAATTTGTTCCCAATGTCCTGGATTGATAGAATTGAGAAGATAGAGAATTTAAGACAACCATTGTGTTTGGAGGAGGGGACTTTTGGAAGGGATGAGATTATGTCAGAGATTGGAGAGCCTTGACTGAATCTGGGATGCCTTATAAGGGATGGGCAGTAGAGAGCATGCATGCAGAGATAGACACACATACTCCAAGAACAGAATAATGTTCAAGCAGGGTAGGAAATCTTTCAAAAGCCTTGTCCATGCTGTGTGGCCACATGAGCTGAAATAAATCTATTATATTTACAAAATAACCTGTCTCAGGTTTTTCATTACACTAACAAAAGCTGGCTAAAACTCTTTGAAACACATTGGCCTACCTGCTAGACTTTATGCTCTGGTTTTGGGTTCTTGTTTTTGTTGATGTTGTTTTTGTTTGTTTGTTCAGTTGTTTTGGTGTTAGATATAATCATTCCAGGTTATCATACATTCTAGACAAGTGCTTGTTGCAAACCCTTGACTGTAAGTTCTCAAATAACGCTCATGACCATGGTAAGTGCACTTCCTTTACTTACAAACTTCTCTGGCTTATATGAAATACCATTACCTGTCCCCAGCTATATAATATTTTTCTTTGTAACATCTAAAATACATATTATATATTTGTGTTTTATTTTCTGCTTTCTGTTCCAGAATGTACTCTTCGGAGCCATTACCAATTTTGTTCATTTTAAATATCTAGTGCCCTGAGTACTTACTGATATGTAACTGATATGTAACTCGGGATATAATTGTTGAGTGAATAAGTATAAGATTGTATATTTTCAGAGAATCCAATGCAAATACAAAAATATACTCTTACTTCCATTTTCTCAGAAAAGATATTAAATATTTTTATTTGAAAGGTTAGACATTATCCAAGTACATTAAAAAAATATGTAAAGTGAGAAAGCTGTCAGAAGTGTCTCAAAGAGAAGATCTTACTTTTATAGGGAGGATACTGGTGAGGGATTGGATGTAGCAAAGATACTTTACTAGCTAAACTCTGTCTTGAATTTAGTATACCAACTCATGGATTTGAATTATTCTTGCTTTCGTAGAAACAACAACTGGAAGTAGATAACAGCAAATAAAAGGAGAGAAGGAAAGAGCCTAAGATTCCTTTTTGTTAACTTCTATCTTAATGCAGAGATGATGATCAAGAAATGTTTGACCAATTGTCACATTTAAAGAGCATTTCTCTGACCTTCTGTTCTAAAACTTCTCTCCAGCATTTTTGGCTCTCATCACCATATTTTCTTGTCTTACCTCAAATCCCATTAATACCATCAATAACAGTTATAGGATATTTACTTAGACTAGGCCTCTTACACTCTTTTTATTTAGATATAATTTAGACACATTCCATCTAGATATTCAAATCATCCTTTTGTAAAGTACTTTTTAAAGTAGGTCCCTACTTTAGTGCCTAATGGACACTCATTTGTTTGCTGCTTTGATATTTCCCACCTTCATTTCCCAACTAATGTTCACTCACATAGGACAATGGTCCAAAACTACCAGGACATTGACTTCCATAAGCTCATTGTTGTTAGTCTTGACTTTCATTTTGACCTATGTCCTGTGTAAACCATACTACAGGGCAGGAAAAACTATCTAAGAAGCAACAGACTCCTCTTTGGCAATCTCTGGGCCTGATACCAGAGAACAGTAGCACTCTGAATGACCAAGTTTCTAAAAAACCCACAAGGAATCTTGACATTCGTTTTTTCTATCAACTGCCATTGCACTTACAAATGCAATAATGAACCAGAACTCCACCGTGAACATAAAACAGAAAATGGGCCCTGTGCTATGGTTCACATAATGGTATCAACTAAAAAATTTTTACTTATGTCACTCATGTCCTCATTAATTATATTCAACTGATGGCACACAAATTTGAATGACAGGACTTCCCATTTTAAACAGTCAGTGAATCAGAATGGATCCTGAAGAGCAAGTATCTGGAAGGTCATCCATTGAAGGTCATGCTCCAGTCCTAATAGTTATATACATCTGACTAACCTTCAGTAGAACCTGAAGCTTCATTACTTAGGGACAGTTCAGTTTTTCTCAATTGAAAATTAGAGGGGGGAATCATGCATCTGCTTATTTCCTTCCAACTCTAGAACATTTGACATTTCCACCTGTAAGGATGACACAGCATCCCTTGGACCATGCATTGTCAACAAGATGCATAAAAAGTCTCAACAAGTAAAGTTTATTAGAGTAGGTCAAAGTTTAATAATAATGAATAGATGGCAATTTTTAGTAATTATTTTTTAGAAACTGCCTTTGGATGTTCGTTTGATATTAACAATGACATGAAGCCTGAGTTGTTCTGAAATCAGCTGTGCTGTAGTACATTTAATGAATCACCCTTCAGATAAGACTTCAGAGATCATTTCAGGCTTTGATTGCATTTGGGGTTAGGTTTTTGTTATTTTCTCCCATTTATTTTATAACAAAAAAAATGTATATAACAACATACTCAAAAAGCATAGAATTTTTTAAAAGTAGCAGATATTTATTAAATACTTACCATGGACCAAAGTCATTGGACATTCTATTTAAAATAACCTTGAAAAATTATCTTGTGAAATAAACATCCTTTTCTGTGTTTCACATAGCAGAAAATAGGCTTAGAGAAAGTAGCATTTCTTATATAATGTAGAAAAATGAAAATTCAGCATTAGAACTCAAGACCACAGTTAAGTTAGGCTCCTATCTGCAAGCATAGCAGAGTATCATTATTAGTGTCAGGGGCTGGCTCTCTACTATGGGGTGGGTCTCAGGTTGGGCCAATTATTGGTTGGACTTTGCCTCAATCTTTGTTCCCTCATTATTTTCTTTGCACTTCTTGTAGACAGGGAAATTTTTGGATCATAGGTTTTGTCGGTCAGTGGTTGTCCCCCTCCTTCCACTAGCCCTAACTGGCTAGAGGTGGTCACTTCAGTCTTCATCCCTCCTCCCCCCCATTAGGATTCTCAACTAGAGTCACACCCATGTCCTCCCAGGAGCCTACACTATTGCAGGCCTCCAGCTTGACAAAGAGATGTCCCCCTCAGTTTCCCCTCTTGTGCCTAGCCCTCTCACATGTACACCCCATTCTCCGCACATCTGATC